TTTCCATTAGTGCAGGAGTTCCACAATAAAATCTATTTTTACCTTTTTAACTACTATCTAGCTCTGGATTTCTTTGATGATACTTAGGGACTGTCAAGACTGGGAAGGTCTCTAAATCTAGAGAATAGAACTTTGACTTAATTTTCTAGAGGAAATAGTGAGCTGTTATAGGTTCTTGATTACAGGAATTCCATAACGCAAATCACCTCCTAAGCTGGGTCTGGCCGCAGTATGTAAGATGATTAAAGCAGAGGAAGCTTGGATAGAGCTAGGGGAGAGAGACTTTCTTGGTATTTAAATATAAACAGATGGAAACTTGAATGAAGTAGGAGTAGAGGGACTAACAAAGCATCTTTAAAGGAAGAACTGTTTTTTTTTTCTTTATTTATTGAATCCAAAGAAGAGTGAGCAGTTGAAGATGATGTCAAGTTGTCTAGTCTTGGAGGTTTGGATAATGACAGTGCTGATTCTAGGAGAGGGGAAGCTAGAACAAAAATACACATGTCTTTGGGAGAAGATAATGGACTTATTGAACATGGGATCGGAATTGAACATCTAATTTGAGGTGTCTGAATGTAAGTGCAAACGTGGAGTAGGAGGTGCAAATCAGAGGTCTTGAAATTTGGCCTGCAGACGTGGGGATTGAGCTCGGCGAAGGGGTATTACCTAACAGCAATACCCTCACTGTCTTTGTACAAGGCGCAAGTTTGTCGTGGAGCTAGAAGTCTCCTGGTGACAGTGCAAGTACCTAGACTTATTGCTGTCTGACCTCCAGCTGAAGTTAATAGAGGTGCAGTTCTACATGCGGCCCTCCTACTGCACGACAAATCACTTCAGTTGCTGAGGTAACTGGATTTACTTTTGTTCTTCATTTTTTCCAAACTAGTTTTGGAACTTCTGACAGAACTATGTGATTATTCAAGGCTCCACCTGAGTTTTTGCAGCGAATCTAAGAGGACTTCTGTGTCAGCCACCCTGAACCTACACGTTTGTTTTAATAATAAGATACTGATCAGGATTCAATAATCTGTTGCAGCATCTCATAGGAGTTACATTTTCTAATCCTTTTTGGTCCAAAGTTGTAAGACTCGACTCCTCACTTAAGAGGCAGCCAGAGTAACTTTTTAAAAATGTAAATGTAATTCCTGTGATCAAACACACCCAATGTTCCATTTACTTTGTTTTCATGATAAAACAAGTTCTCACTGACTACAAGGCTCTGAATTTCCCGGTCCCAGTTCCGTCTCTGACCTCATCTTCCACCTTTAGCCACTCCCCTGTCAGCCTCAAGGCCTCCACTGGACGTTGACTTCTTGTGAAATGTTCTTCCCCCAGCTGCACCAATGGCTCCCTTCCTCCTGCTTCTGTCAAGTCTCAGTGAGTTCTTCCCTGACAAATATATAAAACATGGCATCCGCGCCACCCCCATCACTTATTGTTCCCCCAACCTGTTTTATTCATTCTTATAGGATTTACTACAACCTGATATGCTGTGTGTTTATTTGCACATTGTCTCACTCCTCCTGCCCAAGAGAATACAAACATATAAGGGTACTGATTTTGGCAGTTAATATAAACAGTTAATATAAGCTGAATTCGAATGCAAAGAACAGTGTTTGGCACATAGTAACCATCAATATATGTTTGATAAATGAATACGTTTGAATGAACAAGTCTTGAGGTGAGTTCCAATTCTTTGGCTCAATAGTAAATAGTTTACTTCTTTTATTACAAATCACTACTTCAAGCTTGAGTTCACAAATGAGCCCTATCCTTCAGTCTTTTGTAACATCCCAACCAGGAGTGGTAGCTTTCTCCTCTGATCTGCTATATCTAATTCTAACATGCCTTTCTATATGTGAATTATGGCTATGTGGACTTGTGTTTGTTACTAAAACAACGAGTGTGAGTTTCATCATCTGAAAAGTAGATAATGCCATCTCTCTCATGGTGTGTGATAAATGAAGATAAATGAGATAATCTAAGCATAGTGCTTGGCATGTGCTCTGGGCATTTCTTCCGTAAGTGTTGCCTATAATTTTCAACTAAGTTGCAGGCTGTTGAAGAGCAGACATCCTGAGTGTGGACGTGGGGGTAGGGCGATGGTATACTTCACATGGTAATGGTAGCTGAGGTTGATGTACAGGATGAATTCTGATTGTACGCATGGAAGTGGATCTTGACTTGTTTTTTTTTTTTAGTACTGATGATTGCACAGTCTTCAGTAACTCCAGCAGTGTGAGAATATCCAACATATGCAAGGACTGGAGATTTTGTTTCAGTCTTGAAAACATTCTGGGCCTAGACTCTGGTTATTGATGATTTAGGTTGCTCTCATCCAGCTGAGAGAAGGATGATATGTTAGTTTTTGGGCTTAAAAAGATATTCAAATGTAACCTTATCTGATTCCCAGATTTTAGGCCTGTCAGAATTGAAACTCAACCTTAACTAGTTAATAATCATCACCAAGCATTGCTTTTGAAACCCTCCCATGGATAAGCTGTTCAGGATGCAATAATACACCATAAGTCTCCTGAATTAGAAAAATGTATTAGAGAAGTGGAGGGGAATCCCTTGACTCAGAGGACAGGAGATATAAAGCCGGAGCAGGCAACAGAGGACCTCTTGAGGAAGACTGAAGACTTGCCACACAAAATCCAGGAGAGCTTTCTGCTTGTCACCTCATGTAACATTCACCTCTCAAAGTCAAAGTCTCACAGGATTTTATTGGCTCAAGCCTCTTTAGCTTTGTCTCCACCAGATGTGTCACCATTACTTATCCTTGTGCTAGGTACTCGGTTTAAAGGAAGACCTAAGTCTTTAGTGGGAACAACTCAATCCAATCCTTCCAAACCCGCAGTGTGATGTAAGTTAATTAACACTCAACCTCTTAATTTTAATCAAAAAGCACAGCAAAACTTCCCAGTGACCGTAATTCCTCACTATTGGTCCAAAAGAAGAATGTTTTCCAAGTCCGGGTGTGGATTGGATGATTGTACTACTTCTGTGGCATGGCTGAACGAGTGTGACCCCAACTTCATATACTGGAAATGAGCGAGCCGAGAGGTTCACTGAGTTTCCAACTCACACCCAAGGAAAAGGTTATGTTCCAGAGCGCTGACAAGGGCGTGGCCTTTTCCCAGTACAGTCATCCCCTCCCCTTTCAGAATCAGAAGCCACTTACCATGAATGCTTCTCTCCCAAACTTGCTATGACAAAAGCAGTATATATGTCAGTCTTTTTGGCACATTGAAATGTGTCACTAACAGCCAGCACATATTTTTGTAGGTGAGTTTAAGGTTAACTTTTCCCTTTCAGCATATAAATACTTCACTTCATCATTTCTCAAGGTTAGGTAATAATAAACCAAAAAGATAATAACTTCTAGAGAATTGGCTGGTGCAAGATTTAAGCTAATTAAATAGACATGGTTCCTGGTGTCTTGAAATTGTGTCTAAATAGAAAATATAGATAAAGGAAAGCATATTGAGAGACCTAAGGCCTTCTCTTCATTCATTTAAGCAAGACATTACTGAACGTTTAATTTGAGGCAGGCACCGTGCAGATGCCTGAGCGTAACTGACTACTTGGAAAAACAAACGTGCTCACAGAGAGGCACAGAACAAAACAGAAGGTAACAAGCGCCATATTGGGTTAATAAGCAATGTAAAGGGAGAAAGGAGAGAAAGGAAAAAGAGGCTTTCATGACATCCAGCCCCTATTTTTTAGTTCTGTTCATCACAGTGGTAATTGCTTATCCAATGCCTGTGTCTCTTCTGAAATATGAACTCCAGAAGGGCAGAGGTTTGTGCAGTTTTTCTCTTTTGTATTACCAGCACCTAGTTTCAGGGACAGATTTCACAAAGGCCTTCAGCCTGGGTCTGCCAGGGTAACACAGACCTCGGAAACTGCCTGGAAGATCCCCTTTAATATACGTTTCACAGCGAGCGCTCAGGGAATTGTGGGGCTGTTGACAGTTACTTTCACCAGATAGGTGCATAGCCAGAGTCTACAGAGCAGTAGGGAGAGGCCAAGAGGGCACCAAAAAATCCCATGGGAATGGCAAACGGAGCTCCTCAGAGCAGCTGATGAAATTCTCGCCCTGCTCGGGCAGTGCAGACTGCGGTGGGATATCTTCATGGGAATTGGTGACTAGGGATGTTTGCTCTTCCTATAAAGCTTATCCCACTCAGCCCCCTGCTTTGTACAGCTGCGTCATACAGTCAAGTTCATGAATCCTTTATTGACAGTAAAGGAACTTGTAGTCTTTTCCTTTGCTTATGAATATTTTCCCTCAGGGTCAGTCACCACTTACTAGCACCAATCCAGACACTTAATTAAGTGTTCAATAAGCAGTTTTTGGATGCATGCATATTAGATGGATACATTTTCTGATTATAGAAGTCCTTTATGGGCATATTAAAAATTTAGAAAATGTGAAAATGCAATGAAGACTGTTAAAGTCTACTCAAACCCCTGCAAGCAACGTCAAACTTGGATAGCATTTGTTATGTCATTCTAGATATTTTTGTGTGTATACATGTGAATATGTATAAAATGCAAAGAAACAACACTCTGGGAACATAGGGAAGCTGTCCCCTGCTTTTCAAAATACTCTAAGAAGAATATGTTTGAAAGGAAAAGCTTGGGCTTGGTTAGATGTAATGGTTTGCCTTATAATCATCAAAATGTCTCTGACATTTATTTCTTGATTATTTGATTTGCCAAAGGTTGAGAGAGATATATTAAAGACTCATACAATGATAGTGGTTCCCAGATTTTTCCATTATTTCTAACATCTTTTTGATATCTAGGGTAAAAATGTCAATGGCTGTTCACCTTAATTTTTGATTGTGTCTTTGATTGTGTGGCAGTGCTTGGAACTGTTTGAAATTGCCATCCCTAGTATAGACTTTGGTTTGACTTTGGTGAATATTTGTTTTTTATTTCAACTTTCCTGTAAAGTTTAGATACATTTAAAGCAGTTTTTTTCTTTACAGCTTAGTTTCCTCATCTATAAAATGGGAACAAAAGCAGTACTGCCTGAGACGTTTCCTGTGAAGACTGGAATGAACCAACACCTGTAACATACCCACAACAGGCCTGGCTGTCAATAAATGCTCGCCATTACTACCTTCAGTGTGGCAGTTTGCTCATTTTTTTTATATTTTACCTCAATAAGTATCCTGGAGGATCCTTGTCCTTTAAGAAATCATTTTAATCCTTCCCCTTTATTATTAGAGTTGATTAGTTTCAATGTCTTTAATTTTATTTAATCCTTTAAAATAACTACACTCTCTTCATTTTCTGTCTTCAGCTCTGTGGATCATGTTTACATATTTGCATTTGTTTTGTGGAGATCTGGAAAATATACATCCCATTTTAAACTTTTGGTTTAAACTAGTAGTTTATTTTTAAATTTTTAAAATATGTTTTCAGACTTTCTTTCTATGATTATCAAAACAAAGAGAAAAAACTTTTTTCTCTGCCTTCTGTCAGAAACAATTTAGTATATTTTGTCCACTTTGCTGCCTTCTATCGTCCAGTTATGTTAATATAATATATGAATTTGGATGTCAATTGTTGCCAAAAGTGGTGAGTTTTATATTGTCTCTCAATGATGATTTTTGATGTCTGCTCGCCTTGTGTTAACACTGTTGATGATAGAGATCCAATATCATCCCTTATTTCTGTGCTAACTACATCTCTTTTACAAAATTCTTTCCTGTTATTGATCCCCTGATTTTGACTCATTCCAATGTTGGCTAGAGAATGTCTTCAGCTCTTTTTCTCCTATTTAACCATGTGGGTGTTTTTTTTTTTTTTTCTGAGACTTTGCATTATTTTAGAATTTCTTTCCTTTGGCTTTACACACCAGTGAAAACTTGCAGGGTATAAAAATGTATGGATCACAAACTTTTCTTTCATCACAGTTTTGTGAATGTTTCTTCAGTATATTCTGGTATTTAATGTTATAGGAAAGTCTGAGGACGCCTCAATTTTGTCCCTTTTTACACGCCTTTCTATTCTCATTTTTGCATATTTGAGTGTAGGAATTTTTTCTCTATTATAATTAAAATTTCTCCACATGAATTGTCTAGATGTCTTATTCTTTTTATGTCTTGCCTCAAATGCGCTGATGTCATTTTATCTACCATCTTAAGACATATTTTACTTGCTAAAAATTTCTCTTCAAATATATAGGTGCTTCTTTCTCTGCTCGGTTGTCCTGGTTCCCTCTGAGGGACTGAATCCTGGCCTTGGGTGGTTTTTCTTTTTCTTTCCTCCACATCTGTCAACGTCTCTTCCATGATTTCATCCTCACAATCCTCCTTCATCCATTTCCCAATGATGTATAAACCACCCCTACTGATTTAATGTTCTAGTGTCCATTTTTACCATTAAACTTATCTATGTAGATTTTTATTTTATTTTAATTTTTTGAACTGTACCTTTCTTACTTTACTCCCTGATTCAGCTTGTTGTCTTTGTGTATCATGTGTTTATTTTATACTATCATGCTTCTGTTTTATATCATCCTATTATCCCTCTATAGGCCTATGATTTCTGCTCTTTTCACAGAGGCCATGAATTCTTGTGGCTCGCTAAGCTAATGATGTTGTAATACTTTTTTATTATTTGGCCTGTATAATTCTCTCTCTTGTTTAGGAAATGTCACAGAACCATTCTTTTTGGGAATCAGTTCCTCACCTCCTAACTCTTCCCCTCCATCAATGTAGTCCAAACGGAAGCTTTCATCTTCAAGTTTGCACCTCCTTTCTCTGTGAACTTCAGCCACCTCTCTAGCTCCATCACTTACGCTAGACTAATTTCCGGAAGTCCATGCTCCTGATGAGTTATCGTCCTGCCTATACTCCTCTGACAGGAGAAATGTCATCCTGGTTTTTATTTTATGCTTTCTCATGAGGAACTGAAACACCAAGCTAACCTGCCTTCTCTCTCTCACCCAGAATTCTGTTGAATTGTCTTGTTATACTGCAGACTTCTTTGTGTATAAGTGAGCTAAAAGGCAGTGAATGAATGAGCAATAAAGTCCATTTTCTCTTTCTTTCAGCTAGATAGGGCCACTCTGGCTTATAAAGGTGCATTATGAGACAGCCTGTTATAGATTTTCTTAACTTGGGGCCATCTGTCTTAAATTTTGTGAAAATACTGCTCAGATTCTGAGAGTAGGTTGCCAGTCCAAATGAGTTTCGGGTATTTTTGTGAGTATTTCTGTTTGTGTGCATTCAGATGTTTGAATGCATGGCTTTTCCATGGGAAGTTGGAAAGACTGCAATGGGGGCTACCAGCCAAAGTCCATTTTCCAAGAGAAATCAGTTCTATTGGAGATGGTGGTGGTGGAGGTAATAGGAGAGTGAGAGAGCTTCATGGACATGGTGCTATTTTAACTTAAGGGATTTGAATGGTTTATAAAATTGAGAGTCTGTGAAGGAGGAAAGGCATTTCAGATCATACATGATTATCTGAGTACTGGTTAAGTAAGTGAAAAAACAGGGAAAAGGAAAAATCCCAAGAGATGACTGGATATATTTGAGGTTTTATAAATCTATGTAATCATAATCATATTGTAAGCTAGAACTTGCTAAAACAGGATTGAGTCTGAAATATTTAAACATGCAAAGACCATGTATTTTGATGTGTGTGTACGAACACTAAATAAAGCAGTTTCGAGCTTGTCTATATTCAGTGTACTACAGAGCAATTTGTGGTTTGCATACCCTCTTAAATAAGGACAAATACTTCTCTGTTTATGTGGTTTGGTCAGTGGAATCTTTGTAATTAGATGTATAAGCTATTCCTGTATCAGCAATTTGAAGAAGCTCCGATAATTTTATTTGCAAATTTGACTTTTAAAAATGTAGCAGCACTCTCAATTCTTCATATTCTCCACTTATGTTATTTTATTGATGGTCATTTGCTTCTTGTTGCTTATAAATGGTGACTTTATTTAAAACTGTGCCTAATGCATTTTGGTAGTACCAAATTGTTCAGTCGTTAAAACTGGTGACATTAAGTCATATTGCTTTCATTGCAATGGTTGCTAAGAAAATCATCAGCTTAAGCAATACCAACTGTATTTCAATAGACAAATTAATCTTTTCTTGAAAGCCTCGTCTAATCTCCCTTGTTCAACAGGAAGTTTTCTGCCTTGTAGGCATTTGTGATCTTTTGGCAGTAAAGAAGAAATATGATCTTTATAAGTAGAACTTTAAATGATTTTTTAAGAGTAGAAACGCATAAATGTTCTAAAAATAAGATTGACTCTACTTGAATGCAAGTTTCAAAGGGAATGGATTTATAAAGTGTTTATTTCTTCTAGAAATACCATTTGGCAGAAAAAGCACTTTCTTATAGCAGGCAGAGAATAGGATCGTGAGGCAACCATGGCAAAACTTTAATTTATTAAAAATAATGTTTGTATTTTTTCAGACTTCTGACCTTGAACAAAAACCTGTATCTAGATTTTCCTATCTATGAAACGTGCTCATTCTTTTTACCTTATTTGGAAGACAGTTATGGAGATTAATGATGGCTTTTCAGTTAAGTTCTGTGTAACTTCTTTTAACAAGAGAGTATGAATATTTTACTCTTCAGTGAAGGCAGTGCAAACTGAAGTAGTGGCTCAGCCAGTTATACTGTCAGCTGTCGCCTCTCACTAGACAGGGAGGTTCAAAGGAAAGTTTTTTGGGTGTGCCTTCTCGGTTTGCAACAATTTCCTGAGGACGATCTCAAAACAAGTCATTCTGTTCCTAATTACTCTGTGCAAGCTGTCTGTCTGCTCTTATTGTTTCCCAGGAATCCACAGCCAAAGAAGCATATTTGAAGTCCTGTCTCAGTGTGCATGGAACATTTCCAGCTGTGCCACACAAGCTCAAGTGGCAGAGGCTTGTATATCCTCTCCCCACCGTCTCCCCAACTTACAATTTCCAGCAAGCAAGCATCAGTACCATCCCAATAGACCAACTGTAATTTAGAGTTTTATGTCCTATCTTGACATTTCATGTGAAGTAAAGCTTGAGGGAACTACTCACTGTGAACTGTGGTATAATGAGATGCCTCACAGACATGTTAAAAGATGGAAAATATTATCTCTCTGGAAGTCTGAAGTTTGAACTCAAGTGTAGACACTGAAATGCAGAAGTGAACAGGAAAGACGTGATTCTTGTAAACATGGTGCTTCCAGCCAAGTAAGAAGACGTACAATAAATGGATAATTTAAAGTGTTCGAGTAAGATGGGATCCAGGTTTTATAGGCAGACTCTGAAGCTTATACAATTTTGCACCCTTTATTAAAAAAAAAAGAATACAAACTTAAGTATGAAAATGAATGCTTATTTTGAAAACAAAAAATATAACAAATTGGAAATTTAAAAAAACTGACAAATCACAAATGTAACAAAATCCAGAAAAATAGCATACTACATTTATTAAATAACTACCCAACACATTGCTAAGTATCCTTTCATTTTTCTTCATTTCTTTGCTGTATACTCTTGAGCTCCTTCTTTATATGACAGTGATTTTGGACAGTTATCTTAAAGAGTGGTTATTAAAACAATGCTTTTTGTTTAGAGTGTTGAGATGCATAAAATATGCAAATTCACACTCAGAACATCAAATTGTTTATATTACTATTACAGGTTTAGGCTCTACAAACAAAGTTTTTGATGAATTGTGTTTTGCACACAAATTTGCTTTGCAAGATTTTTGTTACCTGAAATCCACTTCGAAGAATGAATGTTACCATATAGTAAGCTCAGGGCACAATGAACGCTATATACTATATATCAAGGGAGGGGAGGGAACCACATCTTTTCGCATGAGAAAAGCCTGACTTGGATTCTGGAAATTTGAAGAAGGAAGAAAGAAAACTCAAGAGGAATGAGGGGAAAAAACAAACCAACAAATACAAGAAGAGAAATGGAGAAGGAGGAACAATCGGAATGAAAAAGTTAGTGACATTTTTTTAGGCTGTGCTAAGCATTTAACATGGACATCTCGTAAAATTATAAGGCCTTGAGATAAATTTTATTTTCCTGATTTTACAGATTAGAAGACTGAGGCTCAGAAATTTTAAATAACTTGCTCAGTTTCACACAGTTAGTGAAAGTTGA